AAACTTGGAATGTATAACACATTCCCAACTTTTATCCCATTTGGTAAATCACATGATTCCACCCCTTCATCAGGAATGAAATTTCCATAAGGTATGGCAATCACTCGTGATTACATTGTACTTTCTTGTCAGGAAAGGTTTGATCACTTGTCATATGGTTCATAGCAACTGTATCAATAATCCAAGACCCATTAGTAACTTTCTTACCAACCATGTTTACATTAGGATTGGCAACATCTTTTAAATTACGTGTGTCCTTCATGAAGTGTATGAGCAACTCTTGATATTGTTCGTTGGTCATGACATGCATTTGATTTGCCTTAATATTAACCGAAGAAACCTTGGATCACCCCTTATCTTTCTTTTCTTTCCCTGGCCACCATTCTGGGTAACCAATACATTTGAAACAACCCTCTTTATTGTGTCCAGTTTTACCACAAAAAGTGCATTGCTACACTTCATCTCCACTGCCACACATTATATCCTTAGTGGTTCCTTTATTGTTTTGTGATAAAGAGTTACCTGATCATTCATGTCGGTTCGTGAAGCTTTGAAAAGCAGTCGCCTCCTGTGTTGGTTTTCTTGTGGTGGATATGGCTATTTGTTGTTCATATTCTTCTATAATGTGATAAGTGGTTCCTAGAGTGGGGGTAGGTTTCGCTGCTAATATCTGTGTTTTATGGTTAAGAAAATGGTTTCAAGGCCTATCAAAAACTCATAGTTTCTCTCATTTTCATTAGACTCGCTTAACCTCTTTCCAATATCACAGGTACATCTTCCACATGTGCAATTGGGTGTGGGCGATGCAATTTGTATCTCATCCCATAGCCCTCTCAACTTTATATAGTAATCCGAGACAAAAGTACCCTCCTAATACATGGTGGTGAGCGTTTGGTTTAGTTCGCATGCATAGGGTGCACTTTCTTATCAAATCTTTCTTAAAGATTGGCCCACATCTCTGTTGTAGTCTTGCCGTACTTGACGCTCGATCTTATGTCCTTCTCCATGGTAGTGGTCAACCATCCTTTGATCATGGCGTTACATCTTATCCACACTATGTATTGTGTTGAGGTGTCTTTTGGTTTCTTGATGGTACCATAAACAAAACTCATTTTGTTTTTCGCAAAGAGAAAGTTCTTCATCTCTCTCCCTTAGTGGTCATAGTTTCTCTCACTACATATATCATTTAGGTACATTTGTTTTGGATATTCAGAAGCATGGATGTAATATAGAGAGTTAGAGTCGATGAAGTTTTATCATTCTTTCGCTGCGATGGATCTCCTCCTGTCATGATAACTCTGACGTCATTGATAGATGAGACGGATCTATTAGACCTGCTCTAATACCATAAAGAGCCTTATGGAATAGGTTCTTGATATTTCATTAATCAAGAAAGAGCTTTGATAGGAATACAATCAAAGTCTCCGTATTTGATTAAGAGATAACAATCAGACCGATAAAGGATAAATACCAAGATAATAAAATACAACTATTAATCTAACGGATAAACACCAAACTCCTTTAGTTGATTGTTATTATATTGTGTTTATATGTGATATTTAAACCCAACAAACCTAAGACAAAATATATCTCCTCACCTTCCCCTTTAACACGTCCTTTCATCATGTAATCCTGGGACAATCTTCTTATGTTGATTTTGGTACTATGGATTGTTGGTGGTTTGGACATATGAATATTTTTGTAAGCACACTTTACAATATATTTTACTTAAAATAATCAAACTTTTTAGGGCCTTTGTGATCACTAAATCCAGATTGTTTTCCCCACACAATATAACGGTTTTTAAATAAATCAATAAAAAACTAAATGAACATAACTTATCTACTCTATCTCTACTAATAAACTAAACCTAAAAATGTTACACGTCACTTTTCTAAATTTGAAAAAAAAAAAAAAAATCCTATCTTAGTAACAATTTCGAATTATATGGTGTCTAACGATTCAAATTTATATTAAATGTCTCAAGTTTTTTTACGTATCCCAATAAATCAAGGATACATTATCGTAATTATATTCTTTAGCTGATCATCCATTTAAACTACATATCAAATACATGTATTCTGATTATTTTACTATGCACTTTTATTCAAGATTACCAAAATATAAATTTTTTATAAATATAGATTTATATATAATAATTTTAAACATACCAAATTACCGTGGTTTCCACGGCTTATAACCTAATACGGTTATATAAATATAGATTTATATATAACTAATAAATCTTTTTGTTCAAATATATAAGTGACAATATTTAAAAATACAATAATGTTTGTATCTCTTTTACATCTTTTAGATATCATTAGACAAACATTATCAATATATCTAAGTATATATAACTTATTATTATCACATATTTTCCTACAAGTCAATGAATAATTGCTATAAATATGTTTTTATATGTAGTGTACTAAGAGTTTATGATCAATAAAAACAAGTGGTTGAGGTACTTACTTTTATTTATGATATTGGTACCCATATATGTACGATCTAATGTGCATGGCCTAAAAACGAATGCATGCCGATGGAAGCCCATTGACATGTTCTTAACGAGAGGTCAATGTCACATTGATACTAGGAGTACTCTAGAAAGGGAAATATATATGCATCGAGGACATGTTTCTTTCAATAAGGTGCCACGCCTATGTTATAAATTAGGAGGTTGGATTTGAGTTTAATATCCTTCGGTTGGATCTGGCTGGATTGAGTTGATTTGACAATTCTTTCATTTATTCTTATTTAATATAATTAATAATATATATTGGTAAAATAATAATCCACTTTTTCGTGGCGTTTTGTAAGTAATTGATCCGTTTTAGACAAACTATCCAATTTGTTTATTTTGGATTGAATTTGTAGTTGTATCCCTTGAAGATTGAACATGTAATTTAAATTTGTATATTAAAATGCACCACTTTAACAGTATCATGATAAACATTATTCTAGCATCTCCATGATAATTCTTTGGATTTGAATCTTATCAAGATATCCATTGCATTTAAACAAATATTAGTAATTAAGGTTGTGTTTAGGGTACCTAAACTAACTTATTTTGTGAGTTTACTGCAGTTTAATATTTGACAATGTCACAAAAATAGTTTATAAAATAATTCATAAGCAAAAGTGCTTTGATAAGCTATTTGAGATATCTTATTGATAAACTAGTTTATAAGCTAAAATTTAGTTTTCAGATACGATACGTCAAAATATTATAAAGGTAAAATCACAAGTTCACCATCATGATGTCTAATTAGAATTAGATACATGTGCAATTTAATTTGGTTAGTTTTAGAATATAATATATTGGTTGTATCAGTAAATGCATTTATAATATCATAAACCAAGCTGCTTAATGATACATTGTTTTTTATGACCTAATAAATACCTTGTAATAAATGATTAACCAAAATTCATGATACTTTATTCTCCCAACATTTGCGTGAACTAATTGATTTAATCAATTTAAACATTAATATATTGGTAAAAACAATAAAATCAGTTTAAGAGTTACACATACCAAATCAATCAGTTTATTCAAACCAATAAAATGGGTTGATGCAATTTAACACTTTTGGTAGAACGTGGAGAAAACAATTAATGAAAAATAGAAAACATACGAAAGGTTTTGACAAAACCATGTCCTTATAAAAACGATAATTATATAATACTAAATATGATCTATACAATTTATTACGTTAATATGCTATATTTTTTTACTGGAAACCAATAACCGAATTTTACGATTGATTGTCGTAAATGTCCAACTAGGTGCCCTAGTATATAATTTTCCTACTATAGAAATCAACTAAATGAATTCATTTATTCAATTGCTTGTTTTGAACCCAACCATGTTGAAGGGGACACAATTTGGGTTTGGTTTGCATGGGGAAAATACTTGGGGTCTAACTTTGTAAAAATCGAAAAATATAGGGTTCTTTTTGTAAGTTGTTTCATTAAGAAAACGAAAGAAAACAACTGCACTGCACGAAAGCAACGTTTGCAACATCTCTCTCTGGTCCGGAAAAAGGCAACACACCACCGCACCTGTACCCACAGAAAGTTAGGGTTTCGTGAAAGAGAGAGAATTTGATGAACAGATGCTGTAAGGGGTATTTCAGTATTCAAATTTAACCCTTTATAGCCTAGAGTAAGAGGAAATTTTGGAGAGAGAATCATCGCCATGGTATTCCAGCGACAGCCACGAAGTTTTGAAGCTTTTTTAGTGCTTTTATTCTAGCTATCGCCCTCTAAAGTTTCTAGCTTCTCCTGGTCTCAATTCCAAAACAGGTAATTCGTTCAGTTCTGTGTAATTATTTGTTGATTGCTATAGTTTTTAAAATTTGGGTTTTATCGTTGGAGGAAATTTTGAGTAATTACTGTTTTCGAAAAAAGTTTACGTGAATCTATATATGTGATAATAATCTGTTCATACACGCCAAAATGCCTAATTCGGAGATTGAAATCTTCTATTTAGGGGTTTGTATTCTTTCGAACATGTTCGTTATTATTGAACCTTTTTTCGATCGTCTTTACTTGCTAACTTTTTTGTTATAAGATAATATCATTGATTGTTTTTGGTTTGCGGTGCTTTGTATTCATGGGTTTATTTGAACTACATTTGGTGGATTTAGTTGCGATTCAATCTGAGCATGATTTCTAAGAACATCAGTTGATATGGTAATTTTGTGTTTTGTTATAACTTATAACTTATAATCTAGGTCTATTAAAGATCATGCTTGGTTATGGTGGTTTTCCTTTATAACTTGCAATTTGTGTTAGACAATGTATCTCTTGTTTCTAATTTTTGATTTTTTGGGAAGAACAAAGTAATTAGAAAGTTATAAATCACTCTTCATGATACATTACATTTACATATGGTAAATAGTATCATTCGTTTGTTAATTTTACATTGTAATATTTGCAGTGTACAGGGTAAAATATTTATGGTTTCTGAACAATGAAAGGGTAATTTTTACATTATGGCACTAGAAGACTTCTTTACCTCAATCGAGTTAAAAAATGGACTCACATCTCCTGAAAGAGTCAACAACCTCATCACAGCAATGCAGAAAGATCAAGACTCTATAGTCAACAATCTTGATGAAGCAACCCAGCAGTGGTCTACTGTAGCACGCACTATCGCAGCCACAGAGGATCACAACTGCCTTAATCTTTTTATCGATTTAAACGGATTATCTTTCATTGATAAATGGCTCAAAAATGATGCTGATGGCATCCTTTTTGAAGAATCAACCATTGAGTTCTTGAGAGCACTTGAAAAGCTGCAGATAGATAACCAGAAATCATTGGATTCTGGAATTGGCAAAACCATGCAGAATCTTGTTAATCATGGTAATTCTTTGATTTGTGAAAAAGCTAAAGTGTTGTGTGATAAATGGAAGCTAAATCAGGACAATGATGTTAAAAACCTTGAAACAATGCCATTGATAGTAAGCAATGAGGAGGCCACAACATCAGATAGATCAATGGACAAAGTACGCACGAATCAGGAGCCGACACCTGGCGATACAAATCTTTTGGTAAAGTCTGAAACCCTCGATTCTAAAACAGAGAGTCCGTTAGAACAAATAGCTTCAAGTGCTGACGTGGACAATGTTATGGATTCTTCTGGAAAGATGGATGTAATAGGTGATAAAGATGAAGACATGGTGGATTTCCAAAGTACAATGTCATTAAAGACTCCAAACCAAATTGAAAGCCCAAAAACGTGTTCGAATTCAGAAAGCGAGAGGGAAGCTGAGAATGAAGAAAATGGTTCACGTTTATTTGAATCATCAATGAACAAGAAGACATCGGATTTGGAATTAGATTATGGAATCATAGATCCTTTAGAGGTTGCTAGACAAGTAGCTAATGAAGTAGAAAGAGAAGTTGATGATTCCAGGGAACGAAGTTGTAGTACTTCCGAGGGTCCAAAAACTCCGGAATCCACAATTCCGGAAGAAACTCCACCTGTCACGGGCTCGAAACATCCCACAAAAGAATCCGAAACCCAAACCCTTGTTTCTAAACCTGACGTTACCATGTCTCAAGTTTCCGAAGTGGCTCAGGAATCGGAATTCAACACCGGAAAGGGAATCCATGGTGGGTTTGATCTGAATCAAGAAGTTTGTTCCGAAGAAGTCGACGATATAAATCCGGTCTCGATCTCATCGACAGTGTCCGTTGTTTCTGCTTCCAGAGCAACCGCAGCATCGGAATTACCAATTACGCCCTTGCAATTCGAGGGTGCTCTAGGGTGGAAAGGCTCCGCTTCCACCAGTGCATTTAGACGGGTCCCGGAAAGTGAAAAATCCGGGCCCCACAACAACTCGAAACATCAACGTTCGGATTGTCTCGATATCGATCTCAATGACAATGTTCCTTCTGGGGAGGAATCGTCTGTGGAGGCGGGGCCCACGAGACCGGAAAGACCGCAGTTGGATCTCAACAGTATCGGTGATGAAGCTGCTGATGTGGCGCGTTCCGATTGGTGGCAAAGTCCGTCTGTTTCTTCTTCTTCATCATCAAAACAACCTTCTAGAAACATCGATTTGAATTTGACACATCAGCCACAAGAATCTGTTATTTCCATTTTTGGCACAAAAGTTGAGGTGAAAAACAAAGATTTCCAGAATCTTCCGCAACCTTCCGGAAGGTTTACGAAACCAACAGCCGATTTCAATATAGCGAAAACACATTACAACAATCAGCTTTTTTATAACAGTTTTCCACCGGGGCCCGCAATGTTTTTCTACGGGTCGCCTAGTGGGCCTGGTGGGCCCGTCCAGTATATGGTTGATTCAAGAGGGGGCCCGGTGGGACCACAATTTATGGGCGGTTCTTCGCCGTCATTGCCTTTTATGGTGAACGTGGCGGCAGGTGGTGGGTCTGGTGGTGCACCGCCAGGTCCGACACTGCATAACTTTGATCTGAACACAGGCTTGTCTATTGTTGGAGGGAAAAGGCGTGAGCCTGATGGGAGATGGGATTTTTTTCCGGTGAACAAACACCAGCAACCACCGTGGAGGTAGTGGTTTGTTTTTTTTTTTTAATATATTACAACAACTCAAATAAAGAGTCTTGAAGAGTTGTTTATTGGGAAGAGTGAAGGAGGAAGGATTTGGTGATTCTTATTTTTATCAGATTAATTGACAAAAAAGAAAAAGGAAATAGGTTTATTTTTGGTTACAGACGTTTATTTGGTTTTTAAGTTTTGAGTATTTGATAGAAGGGTGCTTTTGGAATATACGACTTTGTTACATGTAGCTGTAGTTTCGTTTTCTCCGTATTATATCAAAGGAAATTAGAGAAACCCTCCCATTTCAAGATTTTCTGTTTCCTTCGTATAATTAGGTTGTGTATAATTAGACATTTATTTGGTTTTTTATGCTGACTTCGTTTTTATCTTAAGCTGCCAGCTTCCTTTTGTCTCCAAAAAGGGAATTTTGAAGTTTGCATATAGAAACCAGTTTTAATTTTTTAGACTCATTATTTTATTCTAAAATGACTACATAAACAATAACAAAACCCCAGCCCCAAGGAAAAAAAAGGCAAAAGAAAAATAAAGGAACGAGACCAGCTCACTCTCATTGATCTTGTGCATATGAAAACGACAAAAGTAAATAAGACACAAGGGTAAACAAGTGAATGTTGTATGCATACACGTAATGGAAAAGAAAGAAAATATTAGCAATATATTCCAAAAAAGAGCTAACAAAGTAGATGGTAAAAGTAAAACTAAGCGACGAACACAAAACAGTGGAAAAAGAATTTAGTACGTAGATCACTCATATACTACTGAATGGGTTACCGAATGGGGTTAAGATCTTGTTTTAAATTTACACATCATCATATATATGAGGTCTTGTCAACCATAAAAACCAATTCCTTCAAGTTTAACCATATACTATCTTTCCACTTCCTTTCTCAAGCATCTTCTCCTCCATACACATTTGATAATGATTCCCTACACCTTCCTAATTACAAATTATTGGTTATTTTTTATGGACACGTCTGAACCATCACCACTCCTAGTGTTTTTTTATTGTCGTACTTAGCACCATGTTCAACAAAGTTCTACAATATGTCTACATCAACATCCTTATTTCCACATCATCCTTCTTCCTAATGTGCTCCTTTTTAATCGATCGACATTCATACACATACAACACAGGAGGCCTTACGCCTGTCATATATAAATTACCCTTAAATTTCAATAGGATCTTCTTGTTGCGCAAAGCTCATGTAGTTGCTCTCTACTTTAAAAATCTCATTTTTATGCGGTAGATAACATCTTCATCGTCCCCTTCGGTATGGATCTGTATTGATAAAAAACTTAAGTACATGAAACGTTCCTTTAAGCCCAGGACATGCTCACCAGTACACAATTATACCACTTCCGCATTTTATTCTCAATGTATTTACACCATAGATAATTCGTTTTAAATATGTTGGTCAGAAACCTATTTTCTTCTAACAACAACTTCTAGTTATAGATATCCAACTTAGCATTCAACTCAGTCCTTGTTGGGTCTTGTGGAATGAAAGATGTTGTGTTTGAATTCTTATGCAAAAGGGATTTCATAGTTTATATGTTTCAGTCTTCATATGTAAATGTAAAATGTTGCGTTAAGTTTCAAATGTTGGTGTTCATATATTTTGTACATGGGTTTCGCAGTTTGTATTGGTTTATTTTGACAACTATGATTAGCTTGAGAGAGAGAGAGAGAGAGTCTTTTAATAGCGTTCTTACATCAGTTGTAATCGAGTGCTTTACTTTTTTTTAATGCAAATAAGATATTATTTATTTTGATGTATTATTATAGAATCCACCGATCCTACGGTCCTACAAAAATGATTTCCTTAGAAAAGAAACATACACCTTAGTGTATCGAATGTAATGACACATGCTCTTTCAAAATTTGCAAATATTTGCACGTCTTATTTTACTGAACTTTGATGTATCGAATGGATTATAATATTCACATTTCCACAATTATTATAATAATGACATTTCTATGACAAGACAATGCAATAATTTTCTTCTTTATCCTTTAAAAAACAATAATATAACAAATAAACAAAACACAAAACAGTGGAAAAATAATTTAGTACGTAGATCACTCATCTACTACCGAATGGGGCCAAGATCTTGTTCTAAGTTTACATATCATCATATAGATGAAGTCTTGTCAACGATAAAAGCCAACTCCTTCAAGTTTAACCATATACTATCTTTCCATTTCCTTTCTCTAGCATCTTCTCCTCCATACACATTTGATAATGATTCCCTACACCTTCCTAATTACAAATTATTAGTTATTTTTTATGGACACGTCTGAACCATCATAATATTTTGCCCTTCAGTTTCTTAATGATCAACACCACTTCGCGTGAATTTTTTATTGTCGTAGTTAGCACCATGTTCAACAAAGTTCTACAATATGTCTACATCAACATTCTTATTTCTACATCATCCTTCTTCTTAATGTGCTCCTTTTAAATTGATCGACATTCATACACATACAACATAGGAGGCCTTACACATGTCCTATATAAATTTCCCTTAAATTTCAATAGGATCTTCTTGTTACGCAAAGCTCATGTAGTTGCTCTCTACTTTAAAAATCCCATTTTTATGCGACAGATAACATCTTCATCGTCCCTTTCGGTATGGATTTGTATGGATAAAAAACTTAAGTACATGAAACTCTCCTTTAAGCCCAAGACATGCTCACTAGTACACAATTATACCATTTCTGCATTTTGTTCTCGATGTATTTACACCATAGAAAATTCATTTTAAATATGTTGGTCAGAAACCTATTTTCTTCCAACGATGACTTCTAGTTATAGATATCCAACTTAGCATTCAACTCAGTCCTTGTTGGGTCTTGTGGAATGAAAGATGTTGTGTTTGAATTCTTATGCAAAAGGGATTTCATAGTTTATATGTTTCAGTCTTCATATGTAAATGTAAAATGTTGCGTTAAGTTTCAAATGTTGGTGTTCATATATTTTGTACATGGGTTTCGCAGTTTGTATTGGTTTATTTTGACAACTATGATTAGCTTGAGAGAGAGAGAGAGAGTCTTTTAATAGCGTTCTTACATCAGTTGTAATCGAGTGCTTTACTTTTTTTTAATGCAAATAAGATATTATTTACTTTGATGTATTATTATAGAATCTACCGATCCTATGGTCCTACAAAAATGATATCCTTAGCAAAGAAACATACACCTTAGTGTATCGAATGTAATGACACATGCTCTTTCAAAATTTGCAAATATTTGCACGTCTTATTTTACTGAACTTTGATGTATCGTATATAATTATAATATTGACATTTCCACAATTATTATAATAATGACATTTCTATGACAAGAAAATGCAATAATTTTCTTCTTTATCCTTTAAAAAACAATAATATAACAAATAAATAAAACACAAAACAGTGGAAAAATAATTTAGTACGTAGATCACTCATCTACTACCGAATGGGGCCAAGATCTTGTTCTAAGTTTACATATCATCATATAGATGAAGTCTTGTCAACGATAAAAGCCAACTCCTTCAAGTTTAACCATATACTATCTTTCCACTTCCTTTCTCTAGCATCTTCTCCTCCATACACATTTGATAATGATTCCCTACACCTTCCTAATTACAAATTATTGGTTATTTTTTATGGACACGTCTGAACCATCATAATATTTCGCTCTTCAGTTTCTTAATGATCAACACCACTCCTCGTGAAATTTTTATTGTCGTACTTACCACCATGTTCAACAAAGTTCTTCAATATGTCTACATCAACATTCTTATTTCCACATCATCCTTCTTCCTAATGTGCTCCTTTTTAATTGATCGACATTCATATACATACAACATAGGAGGCCTTACACATGTCCTATATAAATTTCCCTTAAATTTCAATAGGATCTTCTTGTTACGCAAAGCTCATGTAGTTGCTCTCTATTTTAAAAATCCCATTTTTATGCGACAGATAACATCTTCATCGTCCCTTTCGGTATGGATTTGTATGGATAAAAAACTTAAGTACATGAAACTCTCCTTTAAGCCCAAGACATGCTCACTAGTACACAATTATACCATTTCTGCATTTTGTTCTCGATGTATTTACACCATAGAAAATTCATTTTAAATATGTTGGTCAGAAACCTATTTTCTTCCAACGATGACTTCTAGTTATAGATATCCAACTTAGCATTCAACTCAGTCCTTGCTGGGTCTCGTAGAATCAAAGATGTTGTGTTTGAATTCTTATGCAAAAGGGATTTCGTAGTTTATATGTTTTAGTCTTCATATGTAAATGCAAAATGCTGCGTTAATTTTCAAATGTTGGTGTTCATATATTTTTGTACTTGGGTTTCGCAGTTTGTATTAGTTTATTTTGACAACTATGATTAGCTGGAGAGAGAGAGAGAGAGAGAGAGAGAGAGAGAGAGAGAGAGAGAGAGAGAGAGAGAGAGAGAGAGAGAGAGTCTTTTAAGAGCGTTCTTACATCAGTTGTAATCGAGTGCTTTACTTTTTAATGCAAATAAGATATTATTTACTTTGATGTATTATTATAGAATCTACCGATCCTACGGTCCTACAAAAATGATTTCCTTAGAAAAGAAACATACACCTTAGTGTATCGAATGTAATGACACATGCTCTTTCAAAATTTGCATATATTTACACGTCTTATTTTACTGAACTTTGATGTATCGTATGTAATTATAATATTGACATTTCCACAATTATTATAATAATGACATTTCTATGACAAGACAATGCAATAATTTTCTTCTTTATCCTTTAAAAAACAATAATATAACAAATAAATAAAACACAAAACAGTGGAAAAATAATTTAGTACGTAGATCACTCATCTACTACCGAATGGGGCCAAGATCTTGTTCTAAGTTTACATATCATCATATATATGAAGTCTTGTCAACGATAAAAGCCAACTCCTTCAAGTTTAACCATATACTATCTTTCCACTTCCTTTCTCTAGCATCTTCTCCTCCATACACAATTGATAATGATTCCCTACACCTCCCTAATTACAAATTATTGATTATTTTTTATGGACACGTCTGAACCATCATAATATTTCGCTCTTCAGTTTCTTAATGATCAACACCACTCCTCGTGAAATTTTTATTGTCGTACTTAGCACCATGTTCAACAAAGTTCTACAATATGTCTACATCAACATTCTTATTTCCACATCATCCTTCTTCCTAATGTGCTCCTTTTTAGTTGATCGATATTCATACACATACAACATAGGAGGTCTTACACATGTCCTATATAAATTTCCCTTAAATTTCAATAGGATCTTCTTGTTACGCAAAGCTCATGTAGTTGCTCTCTACTTTAAAAATCCCATTTTTATGCGACAGATAACATCTTCATCGTCCCCTTCGGTATGGATTTGTATGGATAAAAAACTTAAGTACATGAAACTCTCCTTTAAGCCCAAGACATGCTCACTAGTACACAATTATACCACTTCTGCATTTTGTTCTCAATGTATTTACACCATAGAAAATTCATTTTAAATATGTTGGTCAGAAACCTATTTTCTTCCAACGACGACTTCTAGTTATAGATATCCAACTTAGCATTCAACTCAGTCCTTGCTGGGTCTCGTAGAATCAAAGATGTTGTGTTTGAATTCTTATGCAAAAGGGATTTCAGAGTTTATATTTTTTAGTCTTCATATGTAAATGCAAAATGTTGCGTTAAGTTTGAAATGTTGGTGTTCATATATTTTGTATTTGGGTTTCGCAGTTTGTATTAGTTTATTTTGACAGCTATGATTAACTTGAGAGAGAGAGAGAGAGAAAGAGAGAGAGAGAGAGAGAGAATCTTTTAAGAGCGTTCTTACATCAGTTGTAATCGAGTGCTTTACTTTTTAATGCAAATAAGATATTATTTACTTTGATGTATTATTATAGAATCTAACGATCCTACGGTCCTACAAAAATGATTTCCTTAGAAAAGAAACATACACCTTAGTGTATCGAATGTAATGACACATGCTCTTTCAAAATTTGCAAATATTTGCACGTTTTATTTTACTAAACTTTCATGTATCGAATGTAATTATAATATTGACATTTCCACAATTATTATAATAATGACATTTCTATGACAAGACAATGCTATAATTTTCTTCTTTATCCTTTAGGCTAGTGGGTATGGGTGCGGTCCAAGACCGCACTTCGTGCCACATAGGACACGAACACCGCTCCCAGACTGCTGTCTGGTGCGGTCTTCCAATACCGTGCATTTTGATTGGTTGAGGAAGGTAACCGTTTTTTTTTTTTTTTTTTTTTGCTTTTTCTTTTTTCTATATATATATATATATATATATATATATATATATATATATATATATATATATATATATATATACATATCAAATTTATTTTTTTTCACAACACAATCTCCTCTATCTCCCATTTTTTTTTTTTTTTTTTTTAAATCACCACTCTCTCAAAAATAAAAAAAATTTAAATGTCATTTTTTTTAAGTAATCGCAATGTACTGTTTTTTTTTTTAAATTTCAAATAATGAAAAATTATGTTTTTTTAATTAAAATAGAAGTTATATTAAATTATAATAGTTAAAAAAAAATGAAAGTTTTATTAAATTAAAATATCAAAAAAAAAAAAATGGAAAGTGTGGCACCACACCCTTGGTGTGGAATGAAACCACACTTGAGTGATAAAAAGTGACATGGTGTTTATGTGGCGGGGGAGGGAGTGGTTTGGTGGCACCACTCCCTCCAGCCTTAAAAAACAATAATATAACCAATAAATAAAACATTATAATTAACAACATAATATTAGTAATAAATAAATTAGCAGTATATTCAAATATAATAGTAATAACAATTCAAAATTAAAAAATATATAGATGTTATAATTCAAAAATAAAATAAAAGAATATAGGTGTTGCAACTAAAAAGGAAAAAAATAAATAAATAAATAAATATCAAATGTAGTCTTGTCTTAATGTCTTCTACCTGTTTAGTGGAATTAAATCGAGTGTTGGATTACTCTGATGAGTCGCAATCTCACATACCATCCGACGGCTCATGTTAATCTGGATCCACTCACCATACAAAACCAAATGCCCCCACCAATTTCTTTCTCTTATCTCACCACACTTCCCACGGTGGTAATGGCCGAAAACCAACCACCGCTGCAGCCGTCATCTGCGCCGCCGCCACCACCGTCGTCTCCGCCACACTCTGGCTCCGATAATCCCGATCCCACACAATACTGGTGTTACCAGTGCGATAAACGAGTCCCCGTCGAAACCCGACCCGATGATCCCGATATCATCTGTTTCGAGTGTAAGAACGGATTTGTCGAGTCGATCTCAGTTCCTTCTCACGCTCGACAAGTCAGCGATGAAGATACTCCTGCTTTCGGCAACGAGTTCCTACAGGTGCTCAGGTTAATTGCTCAGTCGGCGCGTGAGGATGACGATCCTCCTCCTCCTCCTCCTGCAGATCATCCCGTTGGCGACAACGATTATCTCCGTATCGAGCTCGATGGATGGGATAACCGTATCCTTGACGTCAACGAGGTCGAAGAAGAGGAGGATCCTCAAGTAGACGAAGATAGGGCTCGATTTTACTATGACGATGAAGACGACGACGACGATGAACAAGAAGAAGAAGAAGAAGAGACCGAGAATCGGAACCAAGAAGAGGAGGAGACGGATGAGGATTTCGTCAGAAGAGAAAGGCGTGACGTGCTCCGTCTTCGCCTCCGCGACTTCGCGAGCCGAGCTGCAAACCGTCGTAACCGGATTCTGGATTGGGCAGAGATCCTAATGGGACTCGAGGACCAGTCTATCGAATTCAGGCTACAAGTTCCCGGAGAACACGATGGTTACATAGGCAATCCTGGAGACTACGTCGACGCAGCTGGATACGAAGCTTTATTGCAAAATCTCGCAGAGAGTGATAGCGGCGGGAGGAGAGGCGCGCCGCCTGCCGGAAAATTAGCGATCGAGAGCCTACAAACAGTCGATGTGAATTCAACTAACATGGAAATCTGTGCGATTTGTAAAGACAGAGTCTTCAATAACGAAGACAAGATCGCTAAGCAACTAGGGTGTGGACATATGTACCATGGAGACTGTATAGTGCCATGGTTGGGTTCGAGGAATACTTGTCCTGTTTGTAGGTATGAGTTGCCTACAGATGATCCTGAGTACGAAGAAGACAGAAAGAGGAGATCAATAACCATGACTGATACAGCTATCGATCATGGTTGTTCTTCAAGTTCCGGTGGTGGTGGTGATTAAGAAGTGGTATGTATGCATTTCTCATTGATGTTGTACTTGATAACTTTGGTGTTGGTTTTTCATTGCTCTTATATAAACCGATGTTAATTTATCGTGTTCTTCCTGTTGTACATACATATTTACTCAATTTGAACATTGGATTTGTCTTCTGTTTTTCTTTTGATGTATATTTAATTTAGTCATTGTCTCACTGATCTCACAACATCACATGGGTTCTTAGTTCTTTGTTTTCTGTACTCTTTTATGTGTTTGTAATAAAGCTGGAATGGATTGAATGTTCATTGCCAAAAATGGTGAACATAACGAGGATTATCTTTGACTATCTTTTCTTTAACTTTACATGATATCACAGGTAGTTTCTTCTTCCTGCTTATTCATATTGGATTTGTGATTTATGGACATGATCATGATGCAAAGAGCTTTCTGATCATGGTGTGAGTTTTGCAGTTGATGGTGTTGCTTATTGACATCAAGATTTAAGAAGCTAGTTGACACTTGATACAACAAGGTATAACTAAATTGGTACAAGTATGAAAATGAAACATATTATGTGTTTGTACAAAGTATAAAATTGCATGTCACCAATGAGATTTCCACTAACTTCCTTTATTTGACTATCAGAAACTTTTTGGCAAACCTTCTTCTTCTTCTCTCTTCTGCATAAGCATTAAGAAATATAAAATAAGCTATCCACCATGGAAATCATTTATATATTTTCTCAAAGGTAGAAAAGTCGTGTTTGCAAGCTTAAAAATATTATCCAATATATATGTAACAACACGTCTAGTATCGGTAGAAAATATTGTGAGCTTCTTACAAGCTATAAAAAACACTATTTTATCGTTTTTTTTTTTTGTTTAACCATCCAATTTTAGGTTGTGTTAAAAAACCACTAATTTTTGGATACGCTTAGAAATATTATACAACACGTCAAATATGTAAATAAGTTCGGTTCTCCGTTCATTGAATTCGCATTTTTCGGTTTTTTTTTTGGTTATACTACTGATCAGATTCTTAACAGCCGTTATGCAGGCCAAACTAAGTTATTATATCAAAATATATGATTTTTTGTTCGCTGTCTGTAATATTTATTTATTTTATTTATTTATTTTTTTAACTTTATTAATTTTATAAAAAACTATTCGGTTTTGGTTTTTATGGCTTACTTTTAGTTTTCTTGGTTAAGTATGGTTTTCAAAAGTAATATGCATGGTCCATGAGGTTTTCCATGTGTTATACGTATGTAAAGTTAAAATTATACCAATATTTATTATTTTATGATATTTTAACATATTAATAAATTCTAGGTATTATTTCTGCAAATTAAATTAAGGAAGCCCAAAAAGCTTCGAGGGATCTCGCTTTCTTATTAGCCACATCTCCTCTTTCCCTTAACTTGGCGTGAAAGCCCAATGCTCTTCCCTCCCTTCAACTTGTCGCAATCTCATTGATAACCCAATGTTACTCCCTGGTCACTGGAAGTCCCACCTCCGCCACCACAGGTTAGCTTCTCTATCATCGTCGCAACCGCCATGATCCCCAAGGTACAATTTGCCTCACCGTCATTGACATGCCACTACCGCCACCCTTTCTGTCTCTACTATCTTGTAACTCTGGCCAAATGCTACTCCCTCCCCATCGTTTCCTTATTTTTGGGTTGTTTTTCCTGTGATTTTTTTTTTGATTTACCGTGGTCATATGTTTTATTCGGTTACAAGAAAAGTTATTTTAGTTGGGGATTGGTAATTATTTTACATTTAAGATCTTGTTCAAATTTATTTCGATCATCTTGTTCCTTTTTTGATTTGGGTGTCATTTGTTATATAGTATGTACCAGTTCCGTTCATGAAAAAATATATGTTGAGCGGTGATGAAAATGCGTGGATAATGTTCTTCAAATGTGGCTTCTAGGGTCCAATTAGTAAATGATGTTGTGTGGTTGAGTTGATCAATGAGATGGAAAAGATGCTAAAAGTCACCATATTTGAGTTAAGATATAATTTGGTTTTAGTTTTTTGCTTAAAGATTTCAATTTGGTGGTGTTGATTGATAATCGGTGACAATGATGATGGTGATGGTGGTGATTGGTGATAGTTGTGATGAAAACTGAAATATAAATAAAAGTGATGGTGAGGATAGTAATGGTGGAGTAGATTGTGGTTAGTGGAGTGAGGGTGAGTTTAAGATTTTCTTTTTATTTTATTGTTTTCTTTTGTGGTGGGGGTGTTAAGGGTGATGAACTTACTAAAACAAATAACATCAATAAAAAATGAAATATGAAATATGATAAGACAAGTGAGGTACACTTGACATTTTACATGTATTATCAAAAAAAGTTTAACATGCTATTTCAGAAACCAAGTGTGTAATTTTTGGAAACCATATGGATGAGTCATGTCAAAAATTTGAAAATTGTACTAAAAGAACATATTAATGTTAACAACTATGGACCAAAATGTTAGAAAATCGGGGTGTTTAGAATACTTAGAAAACTCAGAGTTATGAATTACACATTCAGATCAAAAGTATTTCAATGGTACTCTTGAAATATTTAATTGGATCAAACTCAATTATGAGAGAAGAACAAATGATGAGGTATGATTTATGTGGGGTACCAGAAAAATGGCAAAAAAATAGGGATATAGGGTTAATCAGGTCTATCTTCGGGTTTTACATAAGGGTTAATTAGGTCTATTTTGCATAATGATCAATTAGGTCTATTTTTTGGGTTTTACATATGGATAAAACTAAGTTATGAGAGCAGAACAAAGAATGATGAAATATGATTTATTCACAACCATAAAAAAACCATCATGAAACTGCCACCAAATTTGGGTTTTAAATAAAAGTCAATCAGATTTATTTTCTCAAATTTGACCTGTAACGACCATAATTTTTCAACAAATTTTAACTTTTAAAAAACAACCCATTTTCATAATGTTATTACAAAAAGGTTTTCAATACAATTATTATCAGAGTCTTCCCAGAACCATAACATAAAACATAAACATGAGGAGCGGTACGATCACGCCTTTGCCTTACCACGGTCTCCTGAAGAACCTTAAAAACATTAAACCACAACTGTAAGCCCGAAAGCTTAGTGAGATACCCCCAAAATACCAACTACATATACCATACACACATATCATGCTATATCATAACAAATCACAGAACAACCATGCATATCGGGTCTACTGTGTGACTGGTCCGCCGTATCGGGCCTTCAGTCCACCTGGTCCACCCTCCGAGTCTAGTTATGTCCCTTGAGTCTACAATGTGGTTGGTTCGCCCGCACCGGGCCTTCAACCCACATGGTCCACTCTCTAAGTCTGCAGTATGACTGGTCCGCCCACATCGGGCCTTCAGTCGACCTGGTCCACTTTCCGAGCCTCGACACGTCTGGTCCGCCCTCGTGGGGCCTACAGCCTATCCGGACTGCTCGCTGGGCCTTCAGAATAACCGATCCGCCCTGGGTATGTTGGCCTACATCATAAAGCAGGTCCCGCCTCAACCCAACCCCAGGCAAACAACCATGTGCACATAAACATACAATCATATAACAATTCACATTCAATCAAACCGATCTAGCTGATCACGCATCATAACATACTCTAAACAGGATACCGACCTATCAAGTCACTAGCATATACCATCCTAATACCCGGATGCAAACATAACAAGGCAACAACATAACAACGATACCCGGATTACAATCTGATAAAGGGTCGGCCTTGGTGCCTTAGACCCTGTTGATATAGTGAGGATAACTCACCTCGCGATTGCCGAAACTCTGAACTCAAGAAGCAGATTCCCGAATCACCGACTCACCGAAAATCCCGAACTAGCCATCATAACAAAATAATCATTAGGCCAAGTATACATCCACTTATTGGGCCAAGGCCAAAGTCCAAATGTTCTACAAAGCCCAATATTGGCCCAATTTACTAAATTGGGCCCTCCTCACCAAATGGGCCTAGATCTAAGGTCCATAATACTAATTGGGTCCAAAATACTCTATCCATAATTTCCAGTCATGGCCCATAAATCCAACAGCCCAATAACAACCCAAACTATAAGGCCCAAATTGAAAATGCCATTGAGGGGGTACGCTGGGCGTACCCTTCTTGGTACGCTGGGCGTACAACGATGTTCGCAAAATGGGATCGGGGCACTGGCCCGCTACGCTGGGCGTACTCATAGGTTACGCGGGGCGTAACCTCACTGCTCAACTTTATCACATAACATCTTAATGGCTTAAGCTCTTAAGCCCAAACTTCAGATCCTTAAGCCAAATATGCCTAGGATCCATAAAGTCTCGAACTTTATCACCTGGGATGTCCATAAAGCTCTTAATCCAAAGTATTAATCCATTAAGACCTACTTATCTCACACATGGAACAACCACAACCCTTGGGACTTCATTTTTCTCACTCAAGACCTCTCCTAAGGTCTGAAAGGACAATTAATCTTGACCAACTCGAAACATGCAACAAGATGAGGACTTTTGGGACAAGAATGGTGTCAAAGCTTCACAATACATAGATCTACACAATATGAATGTCAAGCAAGAAGCTTTATACCTCAAATAGGCTCCAAAGGATGATGTCTTTCCAGATCTATAGGCTCTAATCGTTCCTCTCCTTCTTTGAAAACTTCTCCTTTCTTCTTCTAGCTTCTCTTTTGCTAAAATAAGCTTTCCAAGACCAAACACACCCAACAATGGAGGTGGGATGGCTATCTAGGGTTCCTGAGGTTAAGAGAGTGCTTATGGAGGCTAAGGAGGAAGCCTTTATGTTATTTATATAGTGGTTGCCTTAAAATTAGGGTTTTGGAGATTCTGAGAGTACGTTGGGCGTACTCAACCATGCACCCGTGATTCATTCCCCCACTACGTTGGGCGAACGTTCAGCTTACTCTGGGTGTACCCAGCATGATCCTTTTTTTTTTCATGCATGGTCTTCCCTTTCCACATTTCCCATTAAGTGCTATAATCGATATTATCTTCGAAATGCCGTAACTCCCCTACTCTAAACCTGCTCCCGATAAACTTTACATTCCCACGAGGGTGGCGAGAAGCCCTATGCTTCTATCAACACACACACCAATCCAAACTTTCTTGGATAAAACCCATTTCCCACAAAAGGACCAAAATTACCCTTCCTCTTAAATCTCAGGGAATCATAATTAAATACTTTAAGAACGGGGCATTACAATTCTCCCCCACTTAAATTAGGCTTCGTCCTCGAAGCCTGCGGCTACTCAACTCCCGAACTGCCCCCACAATGCACCACCTAGCATTCACCGGACCAGGTTCCTCAAGACACGACCATCGAAACCCGAAACCCAACTTTCCCTTTCTTGCTGACAGGATGACACATGCTTCAGCCTCATAGCAACTCCCACGAGTTCTCCACCACAATCTCATAACCACACTGAACTGGCCCTAGCATCCTCGGTTTGGGAAAACCTGATACACAGATTCCATCCCTGTATTCCTTTTGAGCCTCAGCAACCATCCAACCCGGATGTGATTCTAATCATAACTCTGCACTACTGCTTTCACTTCCGTGAACTTACACTCCCTCTCAGGGCTACATTCCCTTCCTTTCCCTTACCAAGGAAACCTACATGGCTACCGTGACACTTCCACAAGTGCCACGGTGATCACTCAAAACTACATCGTGCTATTATAGCATAACCGCTATCCTATGCACCACATATACTCTGGATTCGATCGCGAAGACTCTCAAGTCCATGCTCGACCTCCCATCATGATCAATACCCGGGGCCAGACCTTCCAACGCTAACATATCGCGATATACTCAATCCATTTCCTCGCACCGATCTAATGACACATGTAGAGTCTTCAGCATGACTGGACCGCCTTACCAGGACTTCGGCCAAACTGGACCACTCTCTGAACCTTCAGCACACCTGGACCGCCCTCCAGGGCCTTCAGTCTAGCTGGACCGTTCTTCGAGCCTTCGGCCTGACTGGTACGCCTACCGGCCTTTAGTCTATCTAGATCGCTCGATTAGCATTCAACATTCCGAATTACTCCTTCAGGAGGCTACTCCCATGCATACTGTTCTAGCCCTATAGGGGTTCCGAACTCTACCTCCATCCTACATACTCAGTCCCGGCCGGATCCCAGGCCTTCCACAATCAATCACCCTTGGTCTGTATCCCGCCCCGCACGCCTGCCATTCACTCATACTAGCCTATGCTTTTGGCTGACCGAAACACTGCTGAGTCCCATGCAGCTAAACGACCTCTCATTATAACATCCCAAGTTCAGGAGTGCAAGTTCAAGGTTCAAAGTGGAAATTTGGAAGGGAAACTCGGTGAGTCCATGGGTGGACTCGGCGAGCAGGGTCGTGACTCAGGTCGCGTGTTAAGTGGCCAACTCGGCGAGTCCAAGGCTGGACTCGGCGAGTAGGTGCTGAGTGAAGAAAACCCTAATTTCGGGGGATGACCCCTATACAAAGGATTGGTCTGGTGGCTTATAAACTCCAACTACCGCCTAAACTCAGCAAAGTGCACCCTTTCAGTCATGTGTCCAATCTAAAGAAAGGCCTACTTGAAAAAACTCTCATTGTCCCGTTTGGTGAGATTCTAGTAACTGAACACCATCATTTCATCGAGGAACCAGTTAAAATAAAGTACAAGGAAGTAAAGCGAATAAAGCAAAGCCGTATTTCCATCTTGGAGGTCCGATGAAGTACCAAGTAAGGAATAGAGTTCACCTGAGAACGCGGAGACCAAATGATAAAAAAGTACACGCATCTTTTCCCTAGTTCTTGAAAGGATACTCTAGAACAAATTTCGGGACGAAATTTCCTCTAACAGGGGGATGATGTTACAACTAGCAAATTTGGGTTTGAGGTTGGTGACTCTTGTTCAAACAATCCCTCTATGTAACCATATTTCATTAGGCTATTGAAGCCCAAAATTACAATTTTATTTAAGTTTAT